CCGATGTGTTGAGTTGAAATATGCCTCGATCTATTGAGCATACCAAGCTTCTTCGAGGTTAATTACCCTACAGTATCCTACCAATAACCCACCACATTCAATCAAGGATTACCCTGATGGCGTAGTACGAATTTGTTTTACGTTTAAAATAATCCAAACGAGACCACGTCCAACGCTCTGATTGGTTGGTTCATTGTTTATTCGAATAAAATCACTTGTGTCACTTCATTACGTTATTTGAAATCCAACTCACATGCGTTGGTGGTGTAATGGTCAGCATAGTTGCCTTCCAAGCAGTTGATCCGGGTTCGATTCCCGGCCAACGCATACTTTTTACTTCAAGCTATGTTTTATTTATTTATCATTCAACTTTAAGTTTAAAACTATTTTTAAATAATTTTATGTTTGCCTGTGAAATCTTGGAATAAATAATCTCATGTGTGCTGTTCAGGTAAGTGCATCACAATCGCTGTATAGGGCATCGGACGATTTGCTCTCGTTACCATGACAACGGAACACAAATAGTACAGAGGGATTTTCACATTCTATAAACGCTTTCTGAATGTATTGGGACTGTAACCCTCCATAAATGTCTAAACATGTAGATTCTGTACTAACCAAAAAAAAAAATTAACTAATAACAGAGAATCCAAAATTTGTAGATTTAACATGATCAATTTTTGCAATTATTTGTAGAGTAGCTGCCCCGCGACTTTGTCCGCGTATAATAATTTCTGGCAAATTATGAATTTTTTAATTAGTCTTTTCCAAGGTTTATTCCAATGGTATGGAACAAATCTCATCAGCATAGATTCAGTTGTATTTATTGTTAAATGTTGTTCATTTTAATGATTTCAAAAAACAAACAATCCCACAGGTATTCTACCCGTATAGTATCCATTCCCGTGAGGTTTCAGTGATTAAAACTCCACTTGAATTCCAATCAAATAGGTACAGTGGTTGAAAATACTCAGGCGTCATTTTCCGAGTCTCAAACCATGTCGCGTCGTTGTACCGAATTCCACTCAAATAAGTTCAATGGTTTAAAAAATAGGGAGACCCAAAAGATTAACGCAGTTCCTGTTATTACGTGGGATTTCCAGGATAGAACAATCCTTTCCTATCTACCAGTCCTCTCCAGTGCAAGTGTTTCAAATTCTTAAAAACCAAGTTTTTGTTTAGCCGATCTCGAGTTATAAGTGTTGGAACAAACCCGTCTTTCTTTTATAGATATAGGTGTATAGATATTAATATGAAACAAAAGAAAGTGCCTCCCCATTTAAATATAGCTACATGCACCAATAAATTATCGTTCAACTCATAATGGATCGCTTAACCGAAAATAGCACTTATAAGCACCTAGGTAGATACTTCAAAAGATCAAAAACGCTTAAAAGATAGATTTCAAGTGCTCTTCAAGTATTAAGCACCTGAGTTTGATCATCGATTTATTCTTAGCATAAATGCATCGATTGTGTTGTGGGTCATTTGTGTATTTAATGTAATAGGCAGAGATGCACAAATTAAAAATTAACATTAATTTTTGACTGCCTTGTTGGCCGGGCAAGGGGCCTCGGGTTCGATTCCCGAGTCGGGCAAAGTATTACTGGGTTTTTAAGAAAAACCTCAGTAGTAGCACGGAGTCTGGAATTGTGCCCGGCATATGGCAATAGGCTCACCTCGGCTAAGCCCCTACTGTTTAACGTTAGATTACTACAAGTCATTTGCTGAGATCATTTTATCAGGCGTCGCTCACTGTAACATACAAAAATCGCAATGCATACAATATATAAAACCATTTAATTATTAGAGATGTTATCAGAGGTATTTTTTTTTAAGGGGGGAAAATCATCGAATGACTGCTCCCGCCTGGGTGAGGCGGGAGGGAGTGTCAGACTCTTACTGACTAAAAACCACCCCGTTCCTTCTCCTGCACGTCGAGCCGGAGCCCCGGTTACCCGTTAGGTTCTCCGCAACTTATCAGAGGTATACAATGTTATTATACTACCTATTCTGAGAATGTGAGGTATGAGGTTATATTTTGTATTTTATGTAAGTATATTTAATTTTGTATGTATGTATATTAAAATAATCGTAACATATCGTCTTCTGTTGCATAACGATAAGTATTTGTGTTTATATTCTACTAGCAGCCCGTCCCGGCTTCGCACGGGGTAGACAATTATTTATTTTTGGTAATTTGGATTGTTGTAGTGACATAACTACAATAGTTGGACATATGCTACCGCGGAGTTTTTGTAGACATTATGGTATGATGTTCTTCAATATTCTATCGCGACTATCGCTAATAGTTTCGGCAGCGCATTCGACGAAAGACATTTTAAAACTCATTTTTCTACACCTTCGGTTACATTGTTTAAATTTTACCAAGGATCCCTAATTTTTTTCAAAATGAAATGTAGCTTAGGTCAAATTGAAAGAATGAAGCATTCTATTGGTGAAAGAATTTTTTAAATCGGCCCAGTACTTTTTGAGCCTATTCATTACAAACATACAAAAATAGGTACAAATCTTTCCTCTTTATAATATTAGTATAGATATAGATCAACATAATATAAGATGTGCTACTGTAATAATTATATTTAGAGGTCCTCTCGCCTGCGATACAGGATTGTCCTAGTGCAGGCATCTAACTATGTGAGATCAATTGTACGTAGGTAGGTACTTAAGATATATTTTTGTACTTTGCATTTTTGTTATTATGAATACAGTTTTTATTTTATTATATCCAGACACGTATACAGGGTGGAATTTTGTAACGCTACCTCAAGGGGAAGTACTCTTAATACTTTAGATAGGAAATTTTACTCAAAGAAAACATTCCTTTATTCTTGTAAAGAAAGTAAACTCCATTCAAATCTTTTTTATTTATTTTTAAATTCGCTTGTCGCACACGGTAATCGGACCGACTAAAATCTGTAAAAGTTGCAACCTGTAGTTTCATCACAATCACACCCGATCACAATCTCGTACAAATTTCATTGAAGACTGTCGTCTTTGACAGTTCGAAAAAAGTATTTAATATGACTAGTTGGCAAGTACCTAATTACAGATCATAGATACAGATAAAGCCCTTTTCCATTTCACACAAAAACGTCAAATTTACTCATTTCTATGGTATTGATGGCCACGGAACCATGACTCCATAATCATTGAACAATGTAGACACAATGTCACAACAATGGTATACCGTAATGTTGATACACACTAAGCTAGACAAACCAATGTAAACTGACCTTCGAATATCTGAAAAGATCATTCAATCCGAGACCATGATGACTGGTTTCGTATAGTTTGTTGTGCAGCCATGTGTAATTGCTTCCGGGTGCAATAATGATGAGTCTATTTAGTTGGTTTGTATTCCGTAGGATAGTTGAGTAGTTTCCTTAGTCAAATAATTATCATGACCACACAATTTTTTTTTTTTAAACGTTGCCCCACACTAGGATTTTCTCCTGTGTCGTGGGTGCGTTTACAAACATACAAGTTCACATACACAATGACACCCAGTTTAATTAGGTATTTAGAACAATTATCCTAGACGGACATATATTGACGACATTGGCGATATATTAAAGAAGGGCCAAATTAAAAGTACCCTTAACCGACGAGCATGCATGAAAAGATTGATGACTGTTGATGAAGCGAAAGAGGTTTGTAGGAATCGTAGTAATTGGTGTTTCATAGTCTCTGCCTACCCCGGAGACAGGCGTGAAACTATGTATGTATGTAGAACAATTATTATAAGTGTGGGAAAGCCATGCTTTGACATTAATGGGCCGGCTCGAACGAAGTGATACCACGGCCTCACAGATAACCGACGTAAAGCAACGCTTGCGTTGTGTTTCGTCGTGTGAGTGAAGTTACCGGAGGCGCAAGCCTTCACCTTCATCCCCAATCTCCCCAATCCTCAAACTCCTAAACCCCAAAGGCTGGTGACGCACTTGTAACGCCTCTGGTATTCCAGGTGTCCATGGGCGACGCCGATTGCTTACCATCATCTGGTGATCTGTCTGCTTGTTAACCGGCTTATGCCATAAAAAAAGTGCTACGAATAGTATATATAAAAGAAAATTACCAGTTCTATTAAATTGATTTTACAATATACTATTTATTTTTGTAGGAAGTAGCCCAGAATCAGTAATAGGCTATCCAAATACTGAAACGTTACTCAATTTTAAGTCGCGCTTAAGTATAGTTCTGTCACTGCAAATTCTTAGTAAAATGACAGAGACAGCACGATATTTAAGCACGACTTAAAATTGAGTAACGTTTCAGTATTCGGCATATATCATACAAAAAACATAGAAAATTACCTATTATCGTTTTTGACATTTCAAAAATAATTATCGAATTTGATTAATTGGAGTCATTTACATTTAAGATATAGGTTAGAAAATAATTATAAATACTTTATGGACTCTTGCTATTCTTGTCAGCAGTTGATTTCTTTTATAAGGGCATAGGCATCGAACTCAACATCTTAACTTTCTTATCTTGATAATCACCACACCGGTCTGCTGTATTAACTGTTAAAAAATGTACTTTGTAGGTGCAATGAAACCATATATAAGGGTCACAAAGATTTTTATTGAAACACTTAAATTCGATTTTTAAGTACAAATCAATTATTTTAATTAGCTTCGTTTTATGGCAACGTGTTCTACTATAACACAAATACTTACTACATAAATATCTATAAAATATAAACTATTTACAAAACTTAATAATACTGATTCTATATACAATATTTATTTATATTCTAAACATCAATATTTTATTACATTTAAAAAATATTTCCGAAGAAAAACACATTAAAAAATGCAAGGCACCGGTTTTAGCACCAACATTATATTATAAAACATTTATTTTTATATTTATTTATCAGAATTTACGCATAAATAGTTATTTATTTTTTATAATATGCACGACTGTACTCACACAAAAGTGTAACAAATATATTTTACGTATATTACATACTTGTAATATATTTATACTTTATAGTATTGTATAATTTGTATGAAATTATTTTATTTAATACAATTTGTGAGCTTTTGCTCATTATTATTTACCATACCCGTACAAATACAATGAGGATAATGACATTGGTTGAATTTAGATTCATAGGCGTATAAAACGAAGGAAAATGTACCTTACGTGCACTTATTAGCACTGTGGTTCAGTGAAGTTCAGAATCTAAATCAACCAATGCTATAATACTCATATCACACTACTGTAAGAGACTATGTTATGAGCAAACAGAAATACATCAAAAATGGTTTTATTAGAAACCAACTGTTCCAAGATGTAAATATTTTGAATGGAACATCAGAAAGTATTGTTGTACATAGTTTTGCTCATAACATAACCCCAAAAATATCACCTACACTATATTTACAATAAATATCACTAGTTTCATAAACACAGTAAATAACTGAGAATATTCAGATCTCCACGACATTTCAATAAAACGCCACCTACGTGAAAACAGATAATTTCGAAATTGCATCAGATTTTGGAAGCACATTGACAATAAACGCACTAAACAAGAATAATTTCGACACTTCCAACAATACAGAACATATTTCATAAACAAGAGATACATTTAAATATCTGGTACAAGTCATAACAAACGATTCAACAAAAGCGTCGAATGATTCCGATTTAGATATAAAACAAGCTATTTACATTATTTCTCTAAACACGAAAGCACCATAAGTAACATTGTAGCACAATATTTGATCAAACAACATGTTCCTGATGCAATTTCTCAAGTCACAGTACAGGAACTTTTTAAGATAAAGGCACTTGAAGACAATACTAACATTAATACTGGTTGAAGACCTTAGTCGTGCTCAAGTCGAACGCTGAAGCGCGATCAACCGCATTCTGATACACTAAGAGACCTGCTCAACACCGACGTAGTTCCATTGCACTTCTTGTGACTAGCAAACAGTGTCCCATTAGTGAAAACTAACATTTTTCTACCAAATGCTATTATGCACTCAACCTCCGTCTTCTAAAAAACAAACCATAATATCAAATACAACAAAGACTATCGATTAATACACAGAGACTCCACGTACTTTGGATCCATCTCATCGATCTCACGACCTTTTGTTTCTGGAACGAAAAGTACCACAAACAGAAGACATAGTACTGAAGTCCCAGCATACATCCAAAATAGCCCATAAAGACCTATATAGTCTTGGATATCAGTAGCTGTCTTGACGTTAACAAACCCACAAAGATGACTGAAGCTTGTAGCCAGAGCACTGCCAGTACTTCTGTATTCAAGAGGAAATAGCTCCCCAATTAACAGAGAAGAGATTGGGCTAATGCCCAAAGAAAACGCGATCGTAAATGTTAAGACGCAAAGAAGAGGGATCCAATCGTACGTCGGTTCTGATTGCATTAAATCTGTAGAGTTTCTAAACACTTCCTCATAATAGGCGTATGATCCGAAGCCAGCTAGGGCTATGGACATCATTACTCCACTTATCATCAGTAGGGGAAGTCGGCCCACGTTGTCAATCAACATTCCTGATAGACATGACGCTAACAGCTGAGCGACGCTAGTTGCTATTGCTCCTCCGTGAGGGTTCATCGTTCTGAAGGTTTTCTTAAACATCTTTACTGCGTAAAAGTTAAACAAGTTTGCTCCAGTAAACCTCTGGAAGAACATCAGTCCACATGTTATCAAAACCGGCCTTGTCATTCTTTTCGAAAGCAACGCTTTGAATTTTCCAGCATTGTCATCATTGAATAGTTTACTGGCGAGAATATTTGTTCGTATTGTTGCTAGTTCTTGCCGTATATCCGCTTCTGGTCCTCGAAGCCACTGGAGAGACTCTTCTGCTTCCTGCTCCCTCCCTCTTAGTAGAAGAGAAGAAGGAGTTTCAGGAATAAAGAAGAGAGCGAAGAACAGAAGTATAGGTGCTGCGGCGACCATGAGGGCGAGCTGGTACCAGTTCAAGTAAGCGCCAATGGAGAAAGATATCAGGATTCCAATCTGGCTCAATATCTTGAGTACAGAGCTAAGGCAACCTCTGATTTCGGGGACTGCTATTTCAGTGACGTAAACCTGCGAACAAGAGAGAAGCTTGTTAGGAATTTTCGTTTGAAATGTTAAATAACTTGAGGTGTAAACGGAATTTGGAACTTAATTAGTATTGTGAGCATGAAGACGTTGATTAGCTCCGGCTAATAACTGAGAAAATGTTCAAGGTACTTTAATATTCATGACGCATTTTTAATTGTTCGGCAGCCTCGTGTTTGCAAATAGCTACTCGTAGTAGACAGCTACTTTGATTATCAAACGAACTAAATTGTTTGGGTCGGGTCTAGCTTTTTGTGTATGTAGGAGACGTTTGTAAACACGCCTACGAGTCTAGAGAAATTCCTATAGACCAACTCATGGGAAGCTCATTATTTATTATTTCTTTCGTGAGTTGAGACGCCTAACTCAATCACGGTAGACCACACATGAGAGCAATAAAATACATTATGTAGTCGGTTTACTAATGCAAATCGAGACAATGTACCGTCTGATGACATCAAATCTATTCTTCATCGGCTATAATCCTAACAAATAAAGATTAACATTTCATTACCATTAATTTCTTCGTTATCAAGTGATTTTATACATTTCGAAACTGCATTTTTATTGTTTACAATTAATTTGGGGATCGTATCATTTTGTTTGTTAGGATCTATTTCGACGTGGGCGTGGAGAATGGTGGTTTTATTATAAGTCTTATGTTTATTTTGATTGTTATTATTTTTATTATGTGCTTCAATGTCTGTGTTGGTGTTTATATGTGATACAGATATATTCTGATCAGTTGATTCACCCACGTGTTTTACAAAAAATGTTTTTCCTCTTACATGAAGAAATTGGCTTGTAAATTTTTGTTTCAATAAAATAGTGTCGCATAAAAACATTTTAAATAGAAACTTGTTTTTGTCCCCAAATCTATTTTCACTAAACCAGAATGTTTTGCGTTTTTATCAATATACAACTGAGCTTTACTATAACTAGCAAAGTATAGATTAATGCATTCAACAATTTCCAAAGAACCCTTCAATGCATAGAAATAAATATCCTTTTCACTAACGCAATGGTTTCAAGATTTTACAACTTCAAAGATGGATGCTATTTTCTAAGTCTTTTGTCCTACAAAGTAGGAGTTGAGACCACCCCGGGCTAGCCACACGTGTTCAGAACTAAAGTGACCAAAAACATAAAATCTTTGACCGAATCGCCTTAGGTCTCATTGTTAGTAGTCAAGCTTGGATTATATGCCATTGCATATTTTGCATAATAGGGTAGATGCCTAATTTTTATTTTATGTCAGTCTGGTAGATTATTTTAAAGCATTACACACGTATTTTTTTTATTTTCTTACAGAATACTTTCGATGATAACTAAATTGATTTGAAATGTCGCGTGACGTCACTTCTATGTACATTTTATACCTAGAAATGACGTTTTAGCCCCCACTCCTAGACTTTGATGCATTTTATCTAAGTATTGTTATATTATACGACAAAATAAAAACATACGTGTCTAATATTTTTTCATTGCCTACCTAACGGACGGACTCATTAGATTTTTAATTTTCATACCCTATCATCATCCCAATTATAAAATAATTATAATTCTGTAATTTTGGCATCTCTAACCCCGAATTTGTTTCTCCAGAAATGGTGCCAAAAAGTACTGAAAATCTTGAATTCTCGAAAACCTTGATTGTAAGTATCTATTTATGTTGCATCAAACAAATACTTAGAATATACCAAAATTAGACATTTATGGGACATATTTAAAGTCTATTTCTTAATTTTTTTATGCATACTTTAAGCTTTTTCCTCGTATTTCGGCTTTATGCGGCCGATATTTTAAATGTCTATTTTCGCAGCTCTTCCCTGATGCATATAATCCAGTCTCAATAGTTAGTAGTAAATATATGGAAATATGTTAAAGTTTCATGGAATTATGGTAAGCAAGAGGTCGTGGGTATGCATTAGACTGTAGTAATGACTTCTATGATGGAAACTGATTTAACTGGAAGACATAAATGAAACCTAGTTTCCATGCAATGGAGAAGTTTATATAGTTTTTTATTGTATTAGTTCCATGTAAAGACACCGTCTCATCACTGCACTCTTGAATTCAATAGAAATTCAACTTTAGATACAAAATGATATTATAGTTCAAAATGTATTTGACGAATTCGTATAGGTTGTCCTACTGCCGCATGTCGTCTATGGATAAGACTATTGGTTAAATCTGGACTCCCATGCTGTTACTGGGATTTTTGAAATTGACCTCAACACCTATGTCATAATTAAAGTTCGATATTTTCTGATTAACTTGTCACTATCAAGCAATTTTCTATCGTAAGTAACTGTGATTTTGAACAATAGAAATCAATTTTATTTGGCACCATTCTGAAACTGGAAGGTTTGATTATAATGTGATTGAGAAGACGATGTTTGATTTGGTTAAACACGATTCTAAAGAAAATATAACTATAAATCGTTAATTCAGTGACGCTACTAGAAACACAAAACACTTCTGCATAAACATTTGACAATAACACTACTTAATGATAGATAAATATCGCAATAAATAAACATCTTTATTTCAAACAAAATCATTAAGAATTCAAAACACAACCAACTGGACGATAATGCGAAGGTTCTCACAATAAACTTAACAAAATATTTCTTGACTACAACACTAGCACATTAAGCTATACCATTCTGGTGAATACTTTCAATAGATACTCAACTTTACTATCCTGTGCTGAAGTTCGAAATGAATTGTAGGAACCTGGCAGCTTTATACAATTTGATGACGCCGTATCAACAAGAATAGGTGCAATAATCAAGTGATTTTTGCACCAAAACATTGGTCATCGCTTCGTATAGTATCGTAAAACTTGACAATAGATTATTTTACATAAATAATAAATGTCTAACAAGTCAATGTGTGCACAGTAATGCCTTTTTATGTTTTCTTCTGAGAATGACAAAGAATATGGACGTTATTATATATTATACTAAAACGTTTAAAAAATGATCAGGTCGCTTAGCATAGATTTGTGATGAGAAAGGATTATGAAGAATTATGTGGGAAACCAAATAATACTGATTGTATGAATTTAGAATGTGTATGTATGGTAAGAAAAGAGGACGATCAAAGAGAAGATGGAGGAATGATATGAAGGAAAAGAGATAGATAGATTAACATAACATAACATCGCGCCTTTTATTCCCGAAGAGGTAGGCAGCGCACATTATGCCAATGTACAAAGTAACACACACTTTTCACAAATTATATTTTGAGTCTCATGTAATAGGGGGTGAGCCTATTGCCATATACTGAGCACAATTCCATACTCCGTGCTACTACTGAGATTTTTTTAAAACCTAGTACTAAATTGCCCGACCCGAGAATCGAACCCGATATCCCTTGCCCGGTAGTCACACTAGCGACCACTCGGCCAACGAGGCAGATAGATAGAACAGCAGACATACATATTTTGTTGGCCCCAAAGAATTGGGATAAGGAGAAAATGTTAATACTGATCGCTTTTAATCATATAAATGTACACTTTACTTTCATTGGGATTCAATTTCATTGTCCAATTTTTGAATCAGAATCAGAATCAGAATCATTTATTTGTTAAGGCATTGGCTGCCAATAAAAAACTGTTGAAGGCAAATCCTCCGCTAATGTCGGTCACCGGTGACTGCCATGGCGTTTAACGTGTTAAACATAGGTAGTTTCCATAATAAGGTCTTACATATAAAGATAGTCCACTATGTTTTGCCGTGATAGACATACAAATATCAAGTATCAATCATATTGTTTAGGGATACATTAAAATAGCATAGGTACCTACAAATAGGTACAACTTTCCTGTAATCGAATAGCGTTCCCACACTATAATACTAGATTGGAAATATCCAAAAATGGGAAAATCTTATATTAGGTAGCGTGTGGGACTTGGGAATCCAAAAATTCTAACTAGGGAGTGACAACTAGAAAGATACTAAACTTTTAGTATCAGACCTTATTGGGGATTTTAAAGCAAATGATTGACTAGAAACAGTCAATGGATTGAATTGGAGATAGCATTAGATGTACAGCAGTTTACTTAATACAAACCCTTATTGTCTGTTTCACCTTTTACTGAGCAGATGATTATAATTTTAAAGTCTTGAAATGGATCCGAGGACAAAGATAACGGCCAAATACTCCTACTTATGATGGAGATGATGTTGACTAAATTGTTTGTTTCCATTCATAAAACTATAGTAGGGTATAGGGACGAAATTTACCAGTAACTATTTTCAAAATAATGTCTTAAACCTGATGAATTTCCTAAACGTGCTGTGAGCCGATTATAAAATGATTTGTGTGGAATTTAGGGTTTATTCGGATTAAGGTTAACTGACTACGAATGTTTGGTAACCTTCATTTACCTTTAGTAGCGTTACGATATTATTTACTCATAAATAATTAATTGCAATAAGCACCTTACTATTTGATCTTAAGTGGGTTAAGACGCTTTTGGCTAATCTATCAAAGACCTATAGAAATATATATAGGAGGCAAGCCTATAAAAAAAAAAATACAACGATTCTAGATTCATGATGTCGCAAAGAATTAAAAAAAAAATAAAAGTTCACGCGGTACTAACCCGGCAGTCGACGAGAGTAAATAATCCAATGCTAAAGCATTCCTTGTTGGTCAAGTTGCCACAAATCTGAATGCCAATCAAGGCGTCTCAGATTGACTAAGGAACTGGCCATAGTAGGTACTCTTTATAGTAACTGGTAAAAAGTGGAGGCGACATCGTATACAGTATGCACATCTGCTAGCTTCTTCGGTGATCAAAAGGCGACCAAAAAGATAATGTTTCAATTTAATTCCCCCGCGTGTAAATAATACCACATCTAACTAAATTACCTGCTCTATGGCGTCACTCACAATGGTCATGCAGTGACATGTGACATAAGTGACATCTGTCAAAGATTGCACGATTCTGAAAACTACGCAACTCACTCGCTGGTATAGAGCAAGCGACGCATTGCAAATTGTAAAGTCGCCAGCTAGTGAATTTATTCACTAGACTTTCGACTTTATAATCAAACCAATAAAGTTGAAAATTTTATTTTTATCATTTTTTTTACTGACTTCACAAAAAGAAGAAAGTTCTCAAAACGCCGACGGAACCGCTTGCAAAAGCTAGTCTTTAATAAAAAATATAGATTTGATTCTTTATTTGTATGCTCTAATTTGACTACAAAATTACAGGATTGATTTGAGTAATTACTTAACAATTAAAAACTGATTTTGTAGGGAGTACTATAAGCTAAATTACTTGAAAGAAATGTCCTAAATTCCTCGCGGGAAACGCCACAGACGAAAGGCTAGTATCGTCTATTATATTTTCTTTTGAAAAAAATATCTTAACAAAATATCATCACTGTATTGGACTGTATAGACACATGCGTTGGTGGTGTAATGGTCAGCATAGTTGCCTTCCAAGCACTTGATCCAGGTTCGATTCCCGGCCAACGCATACTTTTTCCTTCAATATTATTTTATAATGTTGATTTCTTGTATTTTATGTCAATTCTTATTCTTATTACGTAAACTATGACATGTGTGATGCAATATTTATTGCTAGTCACAGTAATATTTCAAAGAACGTATAATAGAGGTAATTAAAAGTGATCGTAAAGTTTTAACAACTTGTGTACCTATTGTTAACATAGGTCGGTTTAGTGAGGTCAGACGTACATATGGCCCTTTATACAAGGTTATTGAAAAAATATTAACAACTTCGCAGACTTATATGGATAACCTCATGAACAACAATTTACGTTTATTTATTTATTTATTTACTAGCTGACCCGGCAAACTTCGTACCGCCTAGTTTTTTCTCACCTTTTAAACCTTCCCTAGACTTCCACGAACGTTTCAAGACACACAAAATTAGCCAAATCAGTTCAGCCATTCTCGAGTTTTAGCGAGACTAACGAACAGAAATTCATTTTTATTTATATAGATTTAAAGCTTGATGCACAAAATGTACATAAGGTGGACTTAATACCGCAGGCATTTTCTCCCAGTCTGACCTTTGGGTGATGCAGACTTACGTTCAGTGACTTTTAAAAATTCGACCTCTAATACTCCACTCGTAGCGGAAGACCGCAGTTTGAAAATGTCAGGAAAGTGTCGGGTTTAGCGAGTACTGTTGCTCCTAAGTAAGATTCCAGAAACCGAAACCGAGATAACTCAGATCGATCATATATAGAACCTCTGTGGACGCCCACCCAGGGTAGGTCCAATTTAGAGGACATAGGACTTTACGTCACTGTTAAAGGCATAGATGGTGTCTTAATAGCGTAGCTAGTTTCCTAAATTTTATTTTAATGTCCATCTGGTAGAATAATTTATAACATTAGACACGTATTTTTCTTTTCGAAGAACCCCTCTGTGGTTCGAAACTAGTAGGGCTTTTCTCAGTATATTCACGTGAGTAACCCACGATTTTAGTTGAAATAAATAA